TTATTAATGTTCAAACCATTCAAAGACGTTTGACATACCTGGCCCAGAACGAGAACTTTCAATCCTCTCAAGGGTGTCAGCGACACGTGTAAGGGAATCTTTAACGGCTTTTAATTCCTCCTCCATCTTGGACTTATCAAAATATTTCGAACTATGTATGACGTCATTACGGCAAAGTTTCAATGAGGTAATTTTGGCGGCTTTTGTGCAAGCTGTGGCAAATCGCAACTTTCAAGTTGACAAATCGCAACATTCAACTAGGCCTTTCGTAACTTTTGATTTAACTTTATATTTCTCTCACCAAGTTCATTGTTACGTGCAGCAAAGTCGCAAAATGTTTGTCAAATAATCAATTGTCAAAGGCCGTAAGAAAAATTATGGGCAAAATCGAGTGTTGATTTCCCATGTTAAAAGTCGAATTGCAAAGTTGATTTTTGGCGGTGATGGAACGCCATAGCATTGGACTAGCAAACCAAATGTTGCAGGTTCAATTTCCATGGTGGTCAAGGTAATTTTTCAGCTTGCCTGATTGTGACTAAGAGTACTCAGAGTATCAACATCACATACACATTTGATATATACACCTGAGTCTTTGCATCATCATTACCAATTTAAGATGCACAGTTATGGAAAGGACTAGCCTGAGTTCCAAAATATTAACTACTCAAACCATCTTGATCCTGGAAGCTCATTTAGAAGAGCATTCGGCTAGCAAACCAAAGGTGGCAGGTTTAATTCCCACCGTGGTCAAGCTAATTTTTCAACTTGCCTAGTTGGTGACTCAGAGTAGTGACATCACATATAAACATTTGATATATACACCTGAGTCTTTGCATCATCACTATCAATTTAAGATGCACAGATATGGAAGGGACTAGACTGAGTCTCGAAATGTCAACTACTTGAACCGTCTTGACCTTGTAAGCTCTGTTGGAAGAGCATTGGACTAACAAACCAAATGTCGCAGGTTTGATTTCCCTTTGTCGATATGTAAAAAAATGATGGTGTATAAGTGTAATGTACTTTTGTGGCTTGCAGTATGCCTCAAACTTCTCCATGACTGGCTTTAACTTCATTTTATCACTGTCATTTACGAACGTAAATGTGTTATAGATTTCAATCACTTGCTTCCCGATGCACGTTAAAAATATTGAAGTTTTGATGTTGTCAGCCTTCTCGTCAGGTCCTGTAGCAGTGATATATAATTCAACCTGTTGCTTCCATCGATCACATTGCTCTGCTATATTGCCTTCAAAGGATATTGGTTCGGGTGGGCGAAATTTGTTCATCCTGACACAACGTTATGATTTTATTATACTCTAACTGATTTAAGTTTATTTACAAGCTCTTTTATACTAAAGTCTATCTCTAATTTATACAGTCATGAATAATCATGACAGGTGGCATGCATCAACAGCTCATCTTTCAAAGGGCACCACTTCAGCAAGTACTCTGAAGCTTGAATCAAAAAGGCTTTGCTGCCATGAAAAATTTAGCATACTGGTGACATCACCTTCTCTTAATAGCTTGTCAATAGTTTGCTTTGTCAAGAATCTAACTGATAAGCAGTTATTGGTGATGTGATTCTTATCATTCTTGAAATCTATAGATTTTAATGTACCTGCTCTCTGAGATATTCTCTAAAACCGACAGTATCTCAAATTTGGCAAGGATGTTTCTTAGCATTCTTACCAACTGTGGCTGTAAGACATGGATCAAGGGTTCTTCTCGTTGTAAGAACCGGTTGCAGTGGGTAAAACTTGGCATAACAGACTGGAAGAACAACAGATGCACTTAAGTCATCAGGTCTTTAAGGCCTTCTGAAGCCTTTTAAATCTGGCTTGTTGCTCATTCTCTGACTTAAAATAGGAGGTCAAGCCAGGAAATTGTTTCAGGCTTCTCTGCACAGCAAGCTGTAGACTCCGCCATTGTGTTAAAACATGTTCCACTACTGCTCTTTACTCAAGATCACAGAATTTGCAGTAATCCCAAAGTCCGTTCTTTCGCTTAGTTGACTTATCAAACCAGTAAAACAGGTCAATGGTGAGCTCATCAATATCAAATTTACAACATTCAGCTGCTGCTGCCAACATTCCAAATGATTCTGCTGCTTTTTTGGCTGAATTATGGATGATATGGCATGGACAACCATTAAAATAAATTGAAGGATTGCAAATTGAAGGACTCTGGTCTTCAATGAATTCCGAATGCCAATATTCACTGATGTATTATCAACACCAGCTGAAGTACACAAGTCCCATGGCTGTGCACAGTCAAAGAGCTTTGTCAGTTTTTCATTCATTTCAGTAAAAATGCCTTCAGCAGTAGAAGAACTTGATGTGCACATACATATCTAAGAATTGATTAACAATTCTACTGTCATTTACATAAAAAAATTCGGACTGTTAAAGGGTTGATTTTTTCTAAGCCTTTATCATTTGAGCCATCCACTACAAGAGAAAAAGCATGGAGCTTTATGCTTTGCAGTAGGTCCTGTATCAACATTGATGCAACTGCTTCATAGAGCTTACAGGTGGGTTTTGTAGAGGCAGAATGGTGTTGAAGATGCAATCTTTGAATCTGGAAATATTCTTCTTATGGTTGGAGACAATTTATCATGAAATGCCAATGGTACATTAGAGCTAGCAGTCAAAACAGCCATCTGAAGTTCTGCTTCAGTCCTTTCCCATTCTTCAGATCTCTAAGTGCTTTGGCCAAATCTGAATGATTTTTCGTGTTGCAGTGCTTAACAATATCCTGTTTCCCCATGTGGTCACATTTCACTTTTTTATCACATATGTTACAACGAGACCTATGGTTAAATAAAATGTAATTTTGTCATTCTCATTCTGGTATTTCTAATTGATATAATTAGTTTACCATTACCTGTACAGATCACCTTGAACAGAGGTAATAATGGATGGTCTTTCTTCCAGTTTGCATTGAATTTGGTTTTGTAAGTGGCTGCACTAGATAACTTTCCTGCTTTTTTCTGTCTGGGAGAAGATGAAGAAATATCTGTTCTTTCACTAGAAGCAGTGGCAGACTCAGATTCTGGGGTCTGAAAATGTGTTTATTTCATCTATATTAATTTTGTCAACTAAATTTATTAAAATATGCATCAGGCGCCATTTTGAACTTGAGATTTAAAGTTTTTAGTTCCCAGACTCATAAGTCGCCTTCCTTTTGTTCAAGCCTGAAAACATTTCTGAAATCACATTAAAGGTTAAGTGTTCCATTTTTGAAAATCCTGAATTTGATTCGAATCCAAACAATCTGCAGTCAGACGTGGATTTCATGGATTCAATCATAAGCCAGATCTCGATTTTCCTCTGATTTTCTGTTCCTTTTGCAACTTTGGAGCTTTTCTGATCGATTCGCTTGCTTCTCGGCATTGTACCTCGCGGGAAGACTGTTACCACACAGGCAAAGAGTTGAAAAGGGCACGAAATGGAGGCAAAACAAATTGAAGGTACGTTTTTATAATATCAAACAAATAATTATAAAATCAACTTAGTTTTGCCTTTTTCAAAGTTATGATAAATAAAAACAAACACTTATTTTTAATTTTTTTTACATTTTTAAACGTTTTAGAAGAGCCAATGTACTTGGAAGTGGGAACTACATCTGAAAAATTATGTGAAAACCCTGAATGCTGTGTGCCCCTTTCAGTCACATAGTTCTGGATTTCACAATTTAGGCAGTGGGGCATGTTCATTTTATACAACCAACAAAAGATTTTGTTAATTCAGCTGTGAAACAGATTACTCAAGTAATTTTTTTGCTATGATGTTCTAAACATCTTATAAAATATTCAAGTAATTTAATGTCCTGCTTTGTAAAAAAATATTGTATTTTCACTGTTACTACTTACTACATGTAGTTGTTTTTGGGTGGTTCTGAATATTTTTTGTGGTTTTGAAAGGTATTCCTATCATTGTTTTCATTTGTAGAAAACAACTTTGATACTATTGATCTAAATATGTTACACTCACTTGGAGCACACGAGGTTGCAACTATGGCTGGAAAGAAAGGGGAAACAGCAACAAAAAACAACTAAGATGCAACAAAAGCTACTAGCACAGCAGAAATATATGGTAAGTCCTCAGAGAACCAGATTCAGAAGTGGACCAAACCTGAAGTTTTGAAGTTAATATTACTTTACAAAGCCCATGAAGAACAATTTCAAGATCCAAAATGGAAGAAAAAATCCATTTGGAAGGAAATCTCTAAAGAAATTAATTAGCATAGTTATCCTTATTCCAGTGACAAATGTCAGGTTAAATTCAAAAACCTAAAACAGACACATGTTAAGACGGTTGATCACAACAACAAGAGTGGTAATAGTTTCAAAACGTGTAAATGAAATATTTGCAAGTAATCCATCAGTTGAGCCAGTGGCAGAATGCTCTAATAGAAAGGAGTATAAAGTTGTTAATAAGGAAGATGTTGATAACAAAGAAACAGGAGAAGATCCTCACAGTCCAGACAATGACCACATGGTCAAAAAAGATGAAGTACAGAAGAAGGGAAAGGCAACAAAAAGAAGATTTAGTGTTACTGAGAGTTTAGTCAACATCCAAGAAGAATTAGGGAAAGAAAATGAGAAAAGCATGCAAAAAATGGAGGAAATGCACAAAGAAAACATGGAGCGTTTTGATCACCTACTTAATCTGTATGAAAGAGATCTTTCTGAAAAAAAATAACAGTTGATAATAGTTACATAATGGATTTGTACATGTGACATAATTTTTAGCTGTAAGATTCAGCTGTCAAAGTCAAACAAGTTGCATGATTTCAGCTCTCTTTTTTTTAGCATCTTCTTGTTCAGCAAAAATGTTTTGAAAGTTGTTAACTTCTTGATCAATATCCAATTCCAAAAACATTTCAATGTCATCTTCATTGAGTAAACATAAATTATTTAAAACACAAGCAGCAGTCACAAGAAGAGGAATATCTTGAGCTTTGCCAATATCCATGACTACTTTTAATTTCCTGAATCACCCTTTGAGTAGACCAAATGTATGTTCAATTTTCATGTGCGTGGACCTTAGATGGTAGTTGAACTCTCGTTGCTCTCTGGTAAGTTTACCATCATTCTTGAAACCAGTAATGAGCCAGGTTTTTAGAGGATAAGCTGCATCCCCAATGATATAAGAACTTCCCGGAAACATTTCCGATTCTGATTGTTCTGCATCTTGGTACAGTGGAGAATTTCGAAGGACGTGAGCATCGTGTACAGATCCAGGATAAGCACAGTAAACATCAGTGAAAAATCGATCTGGATCACACACTCGTTGAAGCTGTAGAGAGTGAAATTTCTTTGTGTTTACATACTGCTCTGGATTGTCATAAGGAGCCTTGATTGGTATATGTGTTCCATCAACCACACCAATGCAATGTGGAAGACCTTTCTGGCTCTGAAATTTCTCCATTACCATTTTCACACGGTCCCCGCTTGGCCAGCAAATGAATTAAGTAACCAATTTATTCACAATAGCATGACAAATACTTCTAACAATTCTAAATACACTAGACTTGGTGACGTTAAATTGGTCAGATACTGATCATATTGTTTCTGGATTGCCCAAAAACCAAAGTGTTATAAGTAGTTGTTTTTCAACTGTCACTGGAGGTCCCCCTCTCAAGTGCTGACTTGGAACTTCCGGACAATCAACTAAAAGTCCTACCAAAATTTCTGCACTGCTGCGTGAGAGACGAAAATGCAAACGAAATGAACCATCGGAGTAACTAGGCACAATGCACTCTGCATACTCATGGATTCTGACTGCAGGTTGTCTTTCTGTATTTGGAATAAACGTCAAAACTATTGGCAACATTTTTTCATTTGTACTAGCTGTGAATTCTGAGTCAAAACATTCACATTCACATTTAGAAAAAGGAAGGGCCTGCGATACTTTACATAAATTCCATCAATCAAAATCGATTAATCTAATATCGCGTTTCATTTGTTATACAAATCTAAAAAATCAGGATCCTAAAAATCCAGATTTCCAAAAGGAACACAATTATAGTAATACGCATTTGAACCATAGACGCTTATTATGCAATTGGCTTCTCTGCAGAAATGAATAAATATCTTAGAAGTTAATAGAAGTCTGTCCGAGCGGCATAGCTACTGTATATAACTATATTACATATAACAATTATAAACCAATGGTCTTCTAACTTAAAAATACAATCATCTAACTCATGCTTGTGTGAAAACTAGGCCTTGTCATGAGATAAGGCCTAAAATTGTGTGTCACACAACAAAATCGTGTGAGTTGAGAGGTCTGATGTAATACTAAATGTATTTATAAATGTACTGATGTGGGTAGTACTAAATGTATTTATAAATGTATTTATGTAGGACTTGTGACATGTAACACTATAAAATGCATACTTTATGTAACACTATAAAATGCATCTTACTTATACTAGAGAATAGCTTATTAAGAGACACTTCAGTAGTGCAACATAAAGTACTCTATTCTAGTTCTTCAACATTCGCAAGGATTTACGAACATGTGTTAACTAACAGTATATCTTTATTTATGTCTGTTTATCTGTATACCAGGTGGCATATTTAATAATATAAAACTTTTTTCAATATAATAACTCAACTGTAAATCATCCAATCAGAAAGCTCGATTTGTACCACGTGATCAGTAAATTAATCATGGAGTTCCATCAAAATTTTCACATTATGCTATAAAAGTCGAATACCCCACTGAAGCGTATTCAAGTTTGCGTGTACCACGCGTGGATGCCTCACACACGACTCGAGGTTGTCAACAATTTCAAAATGGAGGCAGCTTCACCCAGCAATTCACCCAGCTTTTGCGCTGCCTACATGTTGTTTCGATATAATATATAATTCATAGACCCTATATTATCATTTATAGACATAAATGATCCTACCTTTTACAGTTACCATACATAAACCAAGGTGAAAACCTTGTTGCAAACAAAATAAAATTATTTAGATGTAATGGAGGGACAAAGCAAACTATTTTAATGATAAGGCAGAAAACACATATGTCCATTACGTTTACCATTACGCTTACTTATTTATTTATTTATTAACTTTGCCAAGTATGATGCAACATTTACCAGTATATTTACAACAATATATAATATGGAAAATTGGCAGGGTGCACGCTACAGTTTTCACCAATTACAGCGGCCCCATACCATTAAGTTTTAAAATTTAAGGTTCAACACCACAAAATCACCTTCCATTTTTAAAAAAAAATAATTTTTCACCTTTCAAACAGCATTTTTCTATACTATTCGACAAGAAAACACTTGCTGGAGCAATGTGTGGGACTTTCGTGGACTGTATGGAGTCACTTAAGCAGGGGGACAGTGAAATCAAAAGAGTGGTCGCCCTGTACATATTCTTTCTCTGTGCCTTGGTGTAACTTTGGACAAGTGTTTTGTAATGAAAGCACGTTTCAGCCTGTCCTAAACCTTGAAATCTGGATTGTCCCTTCTTTTGGTTCTAGATTGCCTAAGCTAGACCTCACCAAAATGCATTTTGACTATCAATAGGTCAATACAACATTGTCTTTGAACTTCCAGAAACACTTATTTGAAGCAAATATGGATGCAAATTATTGTTGATTGAAATATACCAAGAAATTGCCCTTGAAATTGTTATAGAGGGAGCTCACTGTAAATTATTAGACTGGTTAGTATCAACTATGAAGTTACGTTTCTAAAAGTGTTTTTCCTCCTAGGATCACACTATAGAATCCAGGCTGATCAACTTTTAAATGCTCTAAGTAGTTTTTAGAAATCAAACCTTATGTCAATATAATGTGCTCAATGTGAAGCTTAAGTTACATTCAATTTCATTACAGGGGAAGTGATTTCAGAAAGGATTATGTAGCAGATTAGGAGTGCAGATTGTGAGAAGCAGTGTGTTTGTTCCTTATGCTTGAACATATGGACAACCAAACAAATTTGCGGTAGAGGATTGGTAATTATTGTTATAATGGAACATGGGACTGTTTAGGTTTCAGACAATGTATTGTCAATGTCGATCACCATTCCTCTATTGTAATTTTGAATGACTGACAGGAAGGAAAAATAGAATTAGTGTAAATAATTTGCCAATATTAAATATATATATTCTCTAAAAAATCTTAAAATTTACAATGTACAAATTCCTAAGATTTGTGTTCATATGACCAGTGCAAGTGCAAATGTGTGTTATTTACAATACATTTATATAAAACTGATATAAAATTTTTCTATAGGCTAATAAGCCATTCTATGCTAAAGTTTCTGTAAGTATTAGATTTCTTTACAATTACAACCATTGAAAACAATTTTTTTGTTTCATGAAATGTGTGATACATTTCATGAAATGTAATGTAATGTATAATATATAATTACATATATACATAATATATAATTATATATTATACATTACATTGACAAATTGCCGAAAAATTTTTCGGCCGCTAATTTTGGGCCGCCTATGATACAATCAAAATGGATACAGCTGAAATCAACAAATCATATCATATATACAAGTTTCTCATCTTTTCAATTCATGAGCCTCAAATACTACTATATATAGTAAAGGACAAATTGAACATTTTCCAAAACAACTATTTATTGAACATACATAATTGCATGCCCCTGAGATTCTAAAATTATTGATAATTATTGTCATGACTTTAAAATCAGTAGCAGAACACAATTTTGTGTGCCTAAAAAATTATCATTTTTTTAAACAATGGGTTAAGATGAAAGAAATTTTGCATTTGTAATTTACGGATCAAATTGTGGATTGATTCAATTTTTTGCAGTTCGCTTAACAAAACTATCAAATACTTGTTTGAGATAGATCACTCACAGTTTTGTGGCACAGGCAATAATCACTCATGTGACAGTTCGGCATCTTCTGAAGAATAGTGCATTTAAATATGTTTCTTGTGCCTATCAATCCATGTTGTAAACTTATCCTTATGTAATAATGATTGGGTGGATTTCAAAAAGACTCAAATGATCTTCCATTCTTCTTGAAAGGCCTCAAGATTCTTATGTCTCTGCTTATAATTTTTTCATCATCAGTTGCGGATTTGTGTGAGTGTGTGGTTGACTTTGGATGAATGTTAACTTTATGTTCAAATGGCTCCACTATTTTGTCACTACTATTGATGCTTTACTTGCTCTACTTATTGCTTTTTCAGGCTTGTTGGCACCCATTGCACGAATCAACTTCTTCATCTTGCAGTTCCTGTTTCCTTGGAAAAGATCAACTTCAATATTTTTGCCAGTACCACCTTTCCAGTTCACCATAGCAGCCCATTTACAGAGATGAGCTATTGAGCTTTGATGGTTGAGGGCAACACTTTGGACTGTAGGATATTGATGAGCATTTCAATAGCAAACTCAGTTGTTTTTGCAGGATTAGGAGGTGTTCACCATTGCCTGAGGAGATAGCATCCTTGAAATCATCAAGAAACATAAAACACTTTACGATGTTGATTTCATAGCTCCAAACACCATCATTTTCAATGCTGTTTCTATCTTCATCATACACATCCTCATCATCAATGAAAAGAAACTCATCACAAAAATTTGTCAAGCCACCTGGACAATTTAGCTCTTTCTGTATTCTTCTTGCATACTGCTATAAAAACTGTTTGCTGCTGACTTGTGTTTTTTGTCATCCATTTAGAAAAATTCCAAAGGGCCTCAATCACAAAACACTTACCAACAATGTAAAATAGCTGCTCACAATCCTCGTAGTGCTTTACCTCGACAGTGACATTTCTTCGGTTCAGCTTTCTCTAAAAAATTGCAGCATTTCTTTCTCCCTTCCAGAGTTCTTGTAATGTCTCTTGAACATTGTCTGTAGAATATTACATGGTAAAATATTAACATTGCACATTTTATTTCTAAACATAATGAACTCTTCAAAGGCAAATTTGGAGCCCAAACACAAAATACCTTCAGTTCAGGATAAAAAAAATCACCTGTAAATCAAATGTTATGTGACTGCTTTAAAACTTGAGCCAATCTAAAGCATGCTCATTTACAATTATAATCGCAACTACAATTATAATTTAATAGACAGTATCAGTATCCGCAGCTAACGTAACTTGAGTACTTTAAGTAATTTCTTTTTGATTAATGCTTAACCTAGTTCATTATGTTTTTACTGGCATAAGTCAAAATGTTTATGTTGGGACAAATGTCTGGTTGCTTACATATTACAGGGCATGAAAACTTTGCACTATCCTTAGATCTCTAGTTTTATAAGACATAGTGACATTGTTTACATTGTTATATAGGCTTGGGGTTGTTTCCATGAGCACTGGTTCTCATATGAGAGGAATACATAGAAGTTTAAAAAAATGAGGCCACTAAGACAAAGTGTTACCAAACTTGTGTAGGGCAAATTGGGCAAATTAAGAAT